CTTGACCTCTCAGGACACCTACGGCTGCAACCTTTACAAAGCTGTGTTCCCTACTCGACTGACCTACAGATCGAACCCCTACATCTACACAGACCTACGACAGACATACACCCAACTGCCGAAACCTAGGTCACGGGTTCAAACACTCGGGGGTCAACTCGATACTGTACATGGGTAAGGTGAGGTCTGGGGATTAAACTCTAGGGCCCGCATCTGTGACTGCAAAAAGGCGAAAACCGTTTCACTCCCGCCGGCCTAAATTCGAGGTCCTCCGAGAATACTTCAGTCTAAGGCAGGACCTTTAAGCTCTGACTATGTCGGGAGCTGTCTCTAGAAGTTCTGTTCGTGTGAATCAGCGGTCGTCTTCTGGCTCTTGGAAGGAAAATCTGACTTTGTACTGTTTCTGTGGACGACCTCTAACTCCTGTCCTAAAGACATCCTCACCTACTATACCATCAATGTCGTATCTCCCGTCCATATCTGGAGGGATCATGGATCGCCGTGATGGAAATTGTTGACTTGTGACACAAGGCAACAACTTTGACGCATGGAATACGGGGTAGGTGTGGAGGTGTGCTGGAATCTCAATAGTATAGGACGGTCCATCCTCTCCGCCCTTGACTTCTAAGACTGGCCACGGTCCTCTATATGCAGGCAGTAACTTCTGTGAGATGTTCTCCTCAGGAGCGAACTCTTTTGAGTTGACCCAGACTAAGTCGCCTACTTGAAACTGTGAGGGGCGACGGTGCTTATTAGCTTGTTCTATCATTTTGTGTTGGGCTTTCCTGAGGTTATCAACAACGGTAGCCATCTCTTTCTCGTGCTGTATAGCAAACTCTCGTGTACCGGGCGGTAACCTCTGAATCTGATCCCAGTTAAGTCCTTCAAATGGTTTGCGCGGTCTAAAGGACTTGTGCAGTTCGTTTGGAGTGCGACATGTGGCTAGGTGCACGCTGTTATTGTATGCACTGGCTACCTTTGGGAGCATCTCATCCCAGTTGACCTGATCGGGCCTAATGTACATTCTCAGAACTTGTTGCAGGAGCTTGTTCATCTGTTCGGTCTGACCGTTAGTCTCAGGATGACGGCTAGATGACATCAGTAGCTGGGAACCATAGACTTTCACTAGTTCCTGCCAGTTTTGACTGGTGAACCTGGTATCTCTGTCACTAACTATCGACAGTGGGATACCGTGCTCACTGACCCAATGGTCAAAGAACTTTTGAACTACTAAATCTGTCCGTGCCTCTGCAGGCAAGGGGATAAAAACTGCATACTTACTAAACCTATCAACTATGACCATGACTTGACTGTGGCTATGCCTACTCTTGACCCCAGTGTCTGCTCTTACCAGCATCCCTAGCATCTGCTCGAGTTGTTTGTTCTAAAAAAAAAAAAAAAAAAAAAAAAATAAAAAAATAAAAGGGGTCTAACCTGG